GGCAGGGCAGCGCCTGTAACTGGAGACCGGAGCCTTCACCGGCACCGCCCGGCCACTTTCCATTCACTCCTGGTGCTTAATTGAGGGCTGGGGAGAAGCGCTCCCGGAGCCTTCGGAGCCCGGCTGTAAGGATTGTTTTACAAAGGAGCCGGGAGTACCTTTGCAAGCAGCGGGAAGAGAGACTTTGCGTTATTTTTTTTATTTTTTTTTTTTTTTAATTTCCCCCCCCACCACCACCACTATGAGCCAGGTTTGGAATTAAAAGGTTCTTGTAGCAGGAGTGGAGTCCCTAAACTGATAGAAACCAGATAGAAATCTCTATTACTGGTTCCTCCAATAGCTGGGTAAGCATAATTGAAAGTTCTCTTTCTTTACTGTAATAGATGTGAAATGTGTTTGATGGTTGCATTTTCTTGCTGTTCACAGATAGTTAAAGCAGTATTTTCCAGATTAGCGCAGCCTGTGCTTGGCGGGGTTTCTTTTCCCTTTCTTTCTTTCCTTTCTTCTGCTGAGTGATTTTCCTTACGGGATTTAAGGATAGGACTCAGACTGTAGTGGATGACACCTGCACAACACTTCACAGCAAGGCTAGATAATACTTTCCAGAAGCAATACAGCATGCTGAAAGTGACCTCCGTGGCAGGAAAACTTCACCACTTTACTTTAGTAGCGGTTTGCTGGTTTGTTTACAGTTCAAATGGGATATAAGAGCAGAAATGTGATTAGACATTGCTTTTTGTCTGTCCTAAAAGATTCTTCAGAAGTACTTGCAAGGTTTTAGGTCTGTGGGTTGTCAGCAGAGATCATGTGCACAGGACATGCTGAATATAGTATCATGACTTACTGAGATAAATTCAGAACTGGGATATAAGCCCAAACCAAGATTCAAGCCTGCAATGAGTTTGTGTTCAGTTACCAGATATGTAAATCTCTGAAATTAAACCTATTTCTATTAGGTAACTCGCACTTTGGACACCCTGAGGTACCTTTTTGGTACCATATGCATTTATTATTTATGTGTCTAACAGCTGGGGAGGAAGTATGCAGCTCAGAATTTCAATGTTATATTTGCCTGTCACTGGTGTTAACGGTGAAGATCTGCAGTTCGAGCAATGAAATGTAGCAATGTTTCACTTCTGTAACTGGTTGCACTAGAATTGGCAGGAGGCATGAGAGTGGGAGGAAAGGAGTGCTGAAAGGTGTTTTTTATTATTATTATTAATTCCTACAATATCATTTAAAGGAAGAGAGAAAGAGACACACTTGTTCCTCTGACTTTTTATCTCTACGGCAAAGAAAGCATAGTGCTACTACTGTAAAATACTAATCCCATTGCATCTGTTAAATCACATGTTCTATATGATTGGCTATTTGTTTTGGCCTGACAAAGAAATTTTATCAGGATTTAATGGCATTTCTCTCTTAGAAGAGGGATAAGTTAAAGGATATCCCATGGGCTGGTCACAAGGTTTTAAATTTAAAGCCCACAAAGCAGCATTAATACCAGAGTTCGTGCAGCCTGTTTAAAAATTATTCTTGGCAAAAACTCTGCAACTATCATTTTATTAGTTAACAAACCCTTAGAGATAATTTGGAACTGGGCCAGAATGGATATGTTTCCCCTGTAGACCAGATCTGTAGTTGGCAAATTTCTGAAACTGGTGTTTTTGTCAACTAATAGAGTTGTAGCGTTATACTTGATCTTCATCTATTTCTCAGCACTCTGCAGCAAATCAAGAAGGAGAGTTTAGATTGTGAGCTGCAGAGCTGTGCACTCGCTCGCATGCTCTCCATCCCACCCCTAACTTAGTAGGAAGCTCTCAAGCAGAGAGAAGCCTTTCAAAACGATTTACAGTGAGTGCATAGGGAATGACAGAGGTAGTAATGAGATACGGGGCTTTTACCACCAAGTCAGTGGTGTGGATCCAGCCCAAATTGGTGTTGACCTAAAGTCATCCCTGCCTGACAGCTGGTTCCTGCCCTGCTGTGGTGGTTACAGCCAGCTCTTTTAGGACAGGTGTGAATCTCAGAGGGACCGAATGAACAAGCATGTAGAAATATTGGCATCCACTGGAGGGACTGTAGTGCTAGAGCAGAGCTGAGGTGAAGAAGTGAGTTGATTGCACAGGCAACAAAACTCTTTGTGAAATAAATGTATAGCTTTTAATGATACCTTCTAGCTGAAGGGGTTGTATCCTTCAAAGTGCTTCCAGTTACCACAGAATCAAATACATCACCTGATTAACCAGTAAATGGTGTCTAGTGGAAGGGCTGTGGATGCTAAAAAGAAAAAAAAAAAAAATATATAAGCAGGGAAGTAGAGTGGACCTAAAATGAGGATGTGTTTTATTATCACTTTTTTGTCTGAGCTGAAGAAGAAAGTTGTTATCCCAGGTGAAATTAAATTAGGACTTCACAATTTTTGGAAAGATGCAGTTTAGGAGCATTATACATATGTAATGTTCAGCTTCTAATGTCTGCTGGAGTTTATGGGTCTGGTCCAAAGTCCATGGGAATTGTTAGAAAAGTGCCACTGACCCCAGTGAGCTCAATGTCTTCCTGAGCAGATTTGTTTTGGGGTGTTTTCTGATTCTCTGAGGAGCTCAGTCTTCTCAGCAGCTAAACCCTATAAAATGAGTGTAGATGTGCAGCAAATGTTCAGGAGTAGCAGAAGTATCAAGTGTAATGCACTGTCCAACACTGGGTGTTCTTAGTGCTCAGTAGAAGTCTATGACAGTGGGTAAGTATCCCAAAAGGAGCTAGCCCCAAAAGCAAATGTTGACTAACAGTTTCTAGCATGTTGAAATACTTTTGGTTTGAATGGTTTTGAAATTAGTGACGTACATAATCAGGATTTCGTCTTAAAAGAAGACCTAGAGGGCTGTTAGAGAAGTCAACTTCCTAAAACTCAGAGCTCATTTCCAAGCAGCTTTGATTTCAAATGGTAAAACAAAAAAACCCAAACAAACAACAGCCCAAATCTGCTGCCCCCCCCTGCCCCCAATACGACGGGCAGATCCAATATGATGTAAAGTAAGGAGAGAAGTCTAAAAATATCGCCCAGCTTTTTATTTGTGAAACTTTATCTCCTGTCCTTGCTTTGCTCTGCCTTGACATTTAGTATAATTATTTCTCCAGCAGGTGGAATTGTCCTTATTTAAATAAACTGAATCTAATGCTGTAGTCTGCCTTAGCCAAAACTCAGACTCTGTTGATTCATGCTAGCAGGCAGAGAGCTCCTTTGGTGCCTGCACAGAAGACTGCTGGGGAAAACCATTTTCAGATGTACAAAGAAAAAACAGAAGTGCTGTACCTCCTTCATGTTATCATTTATTATGGCTTCAGCTAGAAGAGCTTTCTAACAGAGATCTTTCTGTAGTGTTGGTTTTGCTCCACAAAACTGTAGAACAACAGTAATGTGATATCTCTGTCTTTCAGGTTTCGTTTCGTGGATATTAAGTTGCAAATCTGAAGAGATGGCACTTCTTGCACTGCACGCGTTGATTGGGATATTTATTCACTTCAGCAGTGTAAAAGGATCTTCCCAGCCTCAAGCAAGGGTGTTTTTAACATTCAATGGTAAGAAAGAAGATAAACATTCTTAAGCAAATGTTATGATTGAACATTTTCTTCTCCCCTTAAATTCAATAACGGAGTAGAAATTGTCTTTTTGATCTGCATCCACAATTATTATTTTTGGTTTGTGTTACTGAGGTACCTGTCAGCCTAAATTTGGTTTTTACCTGAAGTTCATTTTGTTACTGTAGCTATAGGTACATAATTTAATATCTTTTATTTTGAGAGTTATTATGGCTTACTAACAACTAAAGGTTTTATTTCTTATCCTTAATTTTGTTTGGGAAAGATGATAGCATATGGCATATAGTGGAAGTTATTAATGATTTGAGTTGCTTTCATTTGGTGCCCAACTGAGACACTTTATACTCTGAAAATCAGGTTGCTTGAAGGTTTACCAAGATAGTTAGCAAGGCACGGAGTCCTTTGACCAAATGTCATTCCTTGTGCGCTTTGTACAATGTGTCGGATGTACATAACACGTAGCAATCACTGAAGATGTCTGCATACTGTAAATAAGCAATCAAAATTACTATTTTCAAAAGAAAAGCTCCTTTACTTAAGTGATGAGCAGTTCTTTATTGCTACAATTACCTTGATATTACTTTAATAGTGAGGTAGCTTGTTCTTCTAGTATTAATCCCTGTCTTAAATGCTGATTTTAGCCACCACTTCAGAATGTGTATATTCTTCAGTCTTACAGCTTCTGTTAAATTTAAGCAGAAATTTTCTGTCACTATATGGGCGTTGGCTTTCTTCAGCCCTCTGCCTTTTCTGTGGTTGTGTTTGAGGCATGAGGGCTTGCTATGCCCTGCATGATACTGTCTACTTTAGGATGGTTTGTATGCTTCACAAGTGCAAGGATACCCTGCAACTGCTGTGTCCTGCCACGGAAATATTCTGTGTGCTCTGGATAGGCTTTAAAGAATCACTTTAAAAATAATCATAGCTAGTAAGTATCTCAAACTGCTATTCACCACAATGGTCATAACTGTGTACTCTTGGGTCTGAGAGTCATCTGGAAGGAGACCTGCCAAGTTAGACCTTCTACAAATACCAACCAGCAGACTGAACAACTACAAGTTGCTGTATATGGTAGAGTATAGGGCCCTAAACTTATGATCGCAAAACTTAACAGGTATGAATTAGCATGGTTCCAATAAAAGCAGTGGTAGAAATTGCATTCAAAGAGGGAACTGCCAAATGAAGAAGGAGGTGGGAGTTTCTTTTCCTTGCTTGAGTAATGCTGACTTAGTGTGGACTGTACTGATTCAGCACAGCTCAACACAGAAGCGAGTTTGTCTGTGGTTTGTGTATGATACCTGCAGGTTTGTCACAGTTACGCAGAACAGGCTGATTCAGGCTTCCGTATCACGTCCATGGTGGCCTTGAAAGTAATCTGGGTTTTCCCTGATCTCTGGTGTGAGCAGGAAGTAGGAAGTGTTCAGGTTTTGCGGTATTCAACCTTGTGACTAGGAAAGAATCGTAGCAAGGGGCAAATGTTTTTAACCTGGATGCAATAGATTCATGTTTCATTCCTTGGCTCATCATATGTATCCTGCAGGTCTGAAACACAGAACCATCCACAGGATGATAAAATGCAAATCTAGGGATTTAGAAAATTTAATGGTGGGGTGAATTCAAACCTTAGTTTCTCTGTCACTCTCTGAAAGGAGATTGTCTCGCCTTCCTTTAAAGGGGGTTAAGACAGCTTTATGTCATAGGGACCCCTTTGCCTGGCAAGGTTCTTGGGACCCAAAAGCTCTGCCACCCCATGCCAGCTGCTGGGACACAGCCTCAGCTCATCAGTTCCTGACAGTAGCCCTGCTGGGCTGCCTTAATTACAGCTTGCTTCTGCAGTATCATGGACAGTAGTCTCATGTCCTGTGTCCTCTCCTTGATTTTTTTAAAGCAATGCTTTGCATGGGTAAAACTGAGTCTCTAACCTCAGTGAAAGTAGGGGAAAGTTTAACCTGAGCCTTGCAATACTATCTGATTATCTTAAAATGGACGTTTTACTTTGTCTAATACCTATCTCAACATTCAACCTTCTAAAAAAAAAAAAAAAGTATTTTAAAGTCCTTGATTTTTACTGGGTCTTTCAAAGTCATAAAAGTAAGAATTTAATTATGCATTTTATAATTTGACAAGTAATGTCTGAAATAAAGGGCTGAGCTTTTTGTATAATATAAAACCAGTAATTTTATTTTTAAGCCTCATTTCCAGATGGTAAGAAACAGCTTTCATTATGTGAAAAGAGTTTGCATGTTGTTCTGTAAAACAAGGTAATGGCCCCACCTGTAGTATGAACTTCTATTCTGTAAATCTTCATTTATTTATGTGGGTACTGATATAAGAGAAAAAAGTGAAAGTTTGTATTGTTCCCTAGCCAAGTGTGATAACATACTCTTTCTGCATAAGCTCCTTCATAGCTTATTGTTTTTAAATCATGTAGAAATATCAAGTTATTGCTGTCTCTATGCCCGGAGAAGTTGACAGTTTTATGGAGAATTGTCACTCTTCTAAAGTGCATCATTTGAAAATAAAACTATAATTAGGACTCCTTATGTTTTAAATGACATGAGACAATAAAGACAAGTCATTCAAGCTTAGGATGCTTACATGATATTTTTCAAGTTCTGAATTAGATTTGGCTTGATGTCTATAATTACATTGCATAAGTTTTGGGGGTAGAATGTATACAGGAGGAGAAAATGAGTGATGCTTTTCAAAGCTAACCTGCTCCATCAGGATCAACTCAATAGAGCTTATTCACATCGCAGCATTTCTCATGGGAAAATCCAGCAAGTATCTTGACCTATTCTGTTGTTCATCAGGAAAGATAAAAATGCGAATCATTTGAATCATGGGCTGCTTTTCTCTTTGCCATCTACTTCATTAAGAATCAAATGTAATTAAAAAGTAAGCCTGGGTAATACCTCAAGAGCCTGATAATAGGGATTTTGCAATTAACTTCAATGGATGAAGGACTGCAACCCTAATTTCTATTTTTGAAATCAAAAGCCTGGCCTCTTGTCTAATTAAAATGTAGTTCATGACTTCGCTGAGATTGTTAAATGTGCATCTGACATGAGTGTGGAACTTACTGCTGTCTGCACCCAACTGTCTTCAAAATTAGTGTCGTACAGAACCCTGAGGCCTGACTTCTGTTGCTTTGCACCTTGTATAGCCATTTACTTGGATGAAAGAAAGGCCAGGCTGTAGCTGAACTGCATGCTTTGCACGGGTATACGTGGTTATACATGGCACTAGGCCTACGGAGAATCAGGTGAAGGGATTCTTGTTTTTCTTGGAATGAGTTCTCATGACCTAATTGTCCTGTTCCCACTGTGATGGCATCAATATTTGTACATCATATGCACTTGGAGAGCTGCTGCAGTTGAAGAATGAAAGATGGCTCTGTTTTTTTTTTCTGATTCTGAAATTGCAAAGATGGGAAGCCTGTGGTGCAGCAGCTGCAGTAGTGTTGGGGAATCATCTGCTGTGTTACCATGGAGCATGCAAGAGCGAGGGAACCTGGGATGTGGGAAGCAAAGGACTCGACACGCCTTCCTACACTATAAGTATACCACACCCCCTCCTCTTACCTTTTCTGGCTCCTTGTCCCCAGAATAGATCTTCCTTAATCTACTTAAATCACCCATCATAATTTAAAGCACCATAGTTTATTTTCTCCCCATAGCAAAAGATTTACCTTATCTGTTTATGAACAATCAACTATCGTGCCTGCTGTTTCTCAAGCTACATGCATTCCTCCTTCGTACTGCATGTTCCTGAACAGATAATTGTGAGCTGTGTCCTTCAGTCTTTACAAGGGGAAAACTTTTCTCAAATCAGTATAAGTGTTAGCAAAATAAGAAAGGAGTTATTAGACTCCAGGATAGTGTCAGACTTCCATTTCATCCCAACTCACATTTATATTTTGGGGTTTATTACAACCCTAAAATGTTGGGCAATACCATTTTAACACCAGATTCTGAATCAGTCAAAGCAGTTCCAGTGCTTATTTTTGAAAACATACTCAAACAAATCTTCTTTGAGCTTTGAATTTATATGGAGATGCACAACCAAGTGATAATTTCACAGTTTACTGGGAACATTTCATGCATTCCTACCTAAAATGTCTGGTCAAGCAGATATTTCCCATGCTGATTCTTCCATTGTCTCCAGTGAAAATTCCATAAGAGAAGTGGATCAAGGCTAATTTGCAGATGGTTTTGTTCCTCTTTTTGTCATAAAATTACTAGAACACGTAAAGCACTTTTAAGAAAGTATCAGTCAGCTTCATTAATGACAATTAAAAAGCATAAAATGTCACCAGAGCAACAGCAGCACTTATTCAACTGTCAACATATTTTAAAAGATTTAATGCAACCCCTGTGGTTACCCTCAAGGAAAAATAAAGGAACTGAGAACCATTTTCTTTGAGCTCTTGAGCAACAGCAGTACAACTTGTTTTTAAACAATCCCTCATTGTAATGTTAATGTTACCACAGTTAATAAAAAGTTCATTTATTATTTGGGGGACTTTGTGCTGATGACAGTCTAGTAGGCAACGGTTTATGCTCAAGTAGTTGATTGGATCTTTGGTGGTGTCCATGGAATGAAAACTACTTGCAAAATGAAGTAGAGGTAAAGCATTTAAAAAAAAAAAAAAAAAAAGGGGGGGGGGGGCAGGGAATAAAAAGGATAAAAGAAAAAGACAGAAAAGAGAACCATGGTTTTATTTTTGTTTATATGCAGAACTCGTACAGAAAGCTTGCGAGTGTTTATATAGTTGCATAATTTTTCAGCAAATTGTGGGTCAGATTGTCTCAAAAGAAACTGATTTGTGGCTTTCACAGCTTCATAGATCTTAAATAATACTAATTTACAGTGTTGAACACCAACCATGTGAAAATTCTTTCCCTTCAATTTTCTCACATTTGAGATCTAGAAACTTAACTCACTTTTGAATACTGTCAACTAAAAATAAAATTCTG